GTGAGAGGGTGTGTGTGTGAGTGTGAGAGGGTGGTATGTGTGAGTGTGAGAGGGTGTGTTGTGTGAGAGGGTAGTGTGTGTGAGTGTGAGAGGGTGTGTGTGAGAGGGTGTGTGTGTGAGTGTGAGGTGTGTGAGAGGGTAGTGTGTGTGACATGCACGCACCTGCAGGCAGGGAGGAGGGTAGGGTCCCAGAGGTTCCAAAGGGAGGCTTTTCCAAAGTTGCCTCGAGCTATTTCCAGAGCGAGCAGCAGCCTCCTGCGTTGCCCGCTTTAAAGGAAAACATTCACTTAGCGGTGTAAGTTCTGTTAGTTGAAAGGCCGTAAGTGATCATATTTTTAGTTACACTCACTGCTCTGAACTGGGGTCTAAAGATGGCAAGTATTTTATTAATGTCCTTCTTATTTCACTCCAAATATAGTTCAGCCTTCACAGAACTGGAGCAATGGTGAGAGGCAAAGGAAAATATGAATCCTTTTTGTAAAACAAAAAAATGGAACGAATAGGGAAGTTTACGATGTTGTACTTGAAATTAGGATGCCAGCAGCATTTACCTGTTTGTTTGTTTGTAACATCCATTGATAGAGAAACGAGGCAACTAGTCAGTGTATCTCTGTCACATCAATGTATCTCTCTCTCCCTCTCTCTCTCTCTCTCTCTCTCTCTCTCTCTCTCTCTCTCCTTCTGTCTCTCTCTGTCTCTCTGTCTCTCCCTTCCACTCTTTCTGAAAAAGCAATGTAAAAAATATCCTTAGGTGAGGTTTAACAAAAAGAAAGAAAAGCTGTATGTCATAAGCATGCTAAAGCATCTCACCCATTACTTCATTATTCTTATTTCATTTAATCATAAATAACTTTGCCATTCCATGGCGTTCTTATAAGAAGAAAGTGGATAATCCCCAACTTACTGAAAACATACCAATTTCCCTTCTAAAACTGTTATTTTAGGAAAATGTTACTAGTCGGATGCAATGACTCCATGTCTCTTGAACCTCAGACAAGCAGGTGTGGTCTGTGTTGTAATGTCCTCGTTCACTGACCAAGGAGGTGAGACACGGGGAAGAAGCCTGGTGTCTGAGGCTCAGATTCCAGGAAAAGCTCTCCGGGTCCTCGTGGGCTGGGCCCTACGTTGTAGGAACGGATTTTCCTCCAGAGCGTCAGTACCAGAGCCCACGTTAAGGTCTGGTGATCTTCCCTAAAATGTCTTGGACAAGATGCTGAAATTACATTTGGGGCCCTTTTTTCTTCTCCTGCTCAATGTTGTTCTCCAAGCTGGTGACAAAGGCAGTGCAGGCAGGCGAGGGAAGGGTCATCAGGGAGCAGGGTGTGAGCTTTGCGGGCTTGGATCTCACTTCAGTCCCATCTTTCCAGTGTGGAAGGCGGGGTATGGGGTGGGGGGTGACGGACAGAGGACACGCAGATAAAGCACTTCCACTGTTGCTGTCCTGGCTCGAGGGGTCCTCTCGAAACGCCAGGAAGGTGCTTGGCTTCCAGGAAATAGCCACTTGCTGTGGCAAAGCCCACGAACTGCCTTCGGAGCCGTCTTCACTTTGCCAAGAGATTGATTGGCTGGTGTCGAAGCACAGGGTGTCCAGCAGCAGACACATCGGCTGCTGCTACTGCTGCCGCCTCCAACACTTCGTCAGACCCAGTGGCTTCTGCAGTCCTTCGTCAGGGTGCTACCTAGTTTCATCCTTATACCAACCCCGTGGGGTACTATTTCTGTTTCACGTCGGTGTTTTAGAGATCAGAAACCAAAGTGCTCAGTGTAGTGGGGCTTCCAGAGGTCGTGAGGTCGGCAAGTCAGAGCCAGGTCCTAAAGCGCGGATTTCCGACTGCACTGCAGGATCCTTCGAAGGTGCCAGCTTCCACAGTGGGAATCACTGCCCGGCTGCACAGAGCGAGCAAATCGTTTCTTATAAAGTGGGCACATGAGAAACAAAAATAAAGCTGCTATATTGTGCGGGGAGCCAGAAGTCCACATGAACTGGAAGCTGGGGTGTGGAGGGGGGGTGGTGAAGGATGGGGAGGATTCTTGAAGGAGGTGGCATGAGGTTGGCCCTTGAAGAATGGATGAGATGTGGGAAGGTCGACGGAAGGAGTATTGAGGGAGGCCTCGGGGGCAAGAGTGCACGCAGTGTGTGCTGGGGACAGAGACGGGACAGCACTGTTGTACTTGCATTTCCCACAGTCAGACTGTCTTTCTATTTATTGATTTTAGAGAGAGAGGAGGGGAAAGAGAGAGAGAACGAGAGAAACATCGATTTGTTGTTCCACTTACTGATGCATTCATTGGTCGATTCTTGTATGTGCCCCGACCAGGGATTGAACTCACAACCTTGTTGCATTGGGCTGCTGCCCTAACCAAACTGCACTACCCGGCCAGGGCCGGGCGAGGCTCTTTCAAGCAGGGCAGGCAGCTAAGGTGTTCTCAGCTGCCAGGATGCAGAATTGCTATGGGTCCCTTTGGATGGAAGAACTGCTCGCTTGCCACTGTCTCGCCTCCCACCAAGAGCCCTGGGAAGGGGCCGTGCACAAGGCGGGGTGCTCAAGAGCATCTTGCTTCCCTTCGCTCTGCTGTCGTAGCCGCAGCAGCCCTTCATTTCTCTGCAGTGGCTTTGGGTTTCCTCACAGTTGCCTCCTCTGTGACTTTTCCGTAGACACCCACCTGTAAGCCCGGCAAACGGAACTTGAACTTCTTGTGGTGGTTTGCAGAGCGTGACTCGGTTGCCTAAAAACCCGCTGTGTTTTCTGCGACAGGTTTGTGACTCCTACCCGACCGAGCTGTACGTTCCCAAATCGGCCACAGCACACATCATAGTGGGGAGTTCCAAGTTCCGGAGCAGACGGCGGTTTCCTGCCCTTTCCTACTACAGTAGAGAGAACCACGTAAGTCCCCGGGCATGCCTTTGTTCTGCGCTCTGCTTTGCCTGTGTTATCAGCGGGCATTCCTCGCGGCCTTCGGCTGTGCCTGTGTTTGAATTCTTCTCAGAGGCATGCAGGTACGGCTGTGTGTGGTACGACACAACACAGCTGTGCTGGGACCCTTAGCTCATTGCGATTATTTGACAATAAGATAATGGGACGGAGTCAGAAAATGCCTAAACTTAACCATCCGAGTGAGTGGTGGGGAGGCGCTATGCTTGCTCACACAGACCCTTTGCAAGGCCTCTCTTTGAAAAGCCCCCCAAATCCACTGCCCCCTCTTCTTCTTTTTTTTGGCACATTTTTGGTGTAACGCCTCCCACATAAGAAATATTTGTTTATGGAGAGTGGGTTTATTTTTTAATTAATTAATTTTATTTTAATCCTCACCCGAGGATATTTTTCCATTGATTTTTAGAGAGAATGGAAGAGAGAGGGAAAGACAGAAACATCAATGTGAGAGAAACTCATCGATTGGTTGCCTCCTGCATGCGCCCCAACCAGGGCCTGGGCCGGGTATGTGCCCTTGACCAGAATCAAACCCAGGACCCTTTGGTCCTCAGGCCGATGCTCTGTGCACTGAGCCAAACCAGCTAGGGCAAGAATGGGTTTATTTTTTAACATTATTTGTAAATGCTAGAATTAGGTGTGTCTGCCACCAACAGAACCACACGACAGTGGCTTAAACAGGATAGAACTTTGTTTTTTCTCACCTAAAACTCCAAAGGTGAGCGGTCCAGGCCTGCTGGTGTGGCTCTCCACCACTTACCTGTCAGGGACCCAAGCCCCTGCACCTGTCTGGGCTGCCATCCGGGGCTTGGCCTCACCGTATTGTATGAGATGACTTTAGTACCAGCCGCCACCTCCACGTGGTGCCTTCACAGCTTTGGGGGATGGGTTCTGAAACAGTCACGTGACACTTCTGCTCACATCCGTTGGCCAGAACTGCCCAGGACAGGTGAGAAAATACCGTCTATGGGTAACCATATGAACAACCTGTGTGTGTGAGAGGGTGGTATGTGTGAGTGTGAGAGGGTGTGTGAGAGGGTGTGTGTGTGTGTGTGTGTGAGAGGGTAGTGTG